CTTCTATTTCTTTACTTTAGTTTATTTTATTTTCCGTTGAGAGTTTCGTGTTACGAGTTAAGTTTTGCCTAACGCTGTCTCCGAAAGAGTGCCGTCTAAAACTTTAACCAGCCCACAACTCTGCGTCGTCAGCCAACGCCCAACCACTGGCTTCCCAAGACTGAACTTCCAGCCAATCAGCGACCGCGGGAAACCCCCCGTTCTGCAAGGACGACAACAAAGGGAACCCCCGAGTTGATGTTATACGGCTCGTTCAATGAATCGCTGGCCGTCTCAGTGATCAGCCGTAAAACAGTGATTCTGTCCAAATTCCCTTTAAAATCTTAAATGATTCCCTTTGACCTAAATTGACCTGTTTCCCTTACAACTCATTTCAAGCTTCCAAGCCAAAGTACAGCAGGGGAGATATAAGATGGAAGCACTTTTTCTATCATGGAAAACTGTTTATCCATCATGAAAATCAGGGCAGAATTATGGCATGATCTGCTTCATGAGATGTGCATTGTAGATTCGCTGTGAAGAAACACTGCAATGCAAAATGATGCACAGAAAATGATGCCATTATTGCACTCATGTCATCTGCATTGCAATTAGCACCTCATAAGTTTTAATACTAGAAATGAAACTAATTCAAGACATTCAGATTTAAAAACAACAACAACACTGGCATATTGCATAAATAAAAAATAAAACATTTTCTAAATCAGTATTTCTTTTGCTTTTCTCCAGTAAAAATATTTCAACAATTTAATATTTAAACAATATCATTTAATATTTTTCCACAAAATTACATAAAATAAAATGAGAATACATTCAGAGAAATATATATATATATATACTGTATATATACATTACTTCAATGAATAGATGAACTGTTCAACTACTGTATATACAGTAGGTAAACTATGCAAATTGGTTTTGGTATTCAAAATGGCCTTTTAGTATGGAAAAACTTTTCTGAAGTTAATATAGGCTTTGCTCAAGAGAAAAACAAACACCAAACCATTTGTTTTAATGATTTTGAAAGCCCTTCTTAGAGAGTAACTTTTAAAGGCACAATATGTAATTTTCACCGCTAGAGGGCACGTATTCAAAATAAACAAAGAGACAAAGGCGTAGTTTGATGACGTCGTGACTGAGTGTGGAATCATGGGAGTTGTCGTCTTCATCCCCACAGCCGATGCAATCCGACGGGCAGAAATCATGTTCATGGATGAGCTAATGATTTATTAACGTAGTAGAATGAAGCAGGGTGAGGCTGAAAGCCGTCGAAGCGAAACGAGGCAGCTGAACGAGCGTGACACACGGCTCGAAAGCAGCAGAGCTTTTATTATGCCACAGTCGACCGCTTCCGCTCCTTCCGGTCGTGAGTATGTGGGGGAAAAAAAGCAGCGCTGTTTTATCATACTATATACATTTGAAAGTTCTGTTATAATGCTACTCTGTGCGGTCGTCACCGGTCTAATAAAACGCACAACATATTAAAGCATCTTTGGTGTTTCCATGTTTTCTACAAAACAAAACCGGAAAT